CCCTGGTAAAAGTCATTGGCAAGCTTAGAAATGGATTTCATGGTACATTCATAGTACTCTAGACGTTGGATTAGTTTATGAGCATAATGAATTTGGTCAAGATGTAATAGGATATTGTGATTCTGACTACGCGGGTGATTTAGATAAGCGAAGATCAACGGCTGGATATTTGTTCACTTTTGCAAAAGCTCCGGTCAGTTGGAAGTCTACCTTACAGTCAACAGTTGCTTTATCTACAACAGAGGCAGAGTATATGCCGATTACTGAAGCTGTGAAGGAGGCTATTTGGCTTCAAAGTTTGCTTGAAGACTTGGAAGTTGGTCAAAAGCACGTCATAGTGCATTGTTACAGTCAGAGCGTTATTCACTTAGCGAAAAATCAAGTATTTCATGCAAGAACGAAGCATATTGATGCTCGCTATCATTTTGTGCGGAGATCCTAGAAGACAGAACCATTGTGTTTAAGAAGATCAAGACGACGGAGAATCCTGCAGATATGATGACCAAGGTAGTAACAACAGTCAAGTTTGAACATTGTTTAGACTTGACCAACATTCTACATATTTGAGTTGGCGCCGGGAGGCGCATTTGGAGGCACCGCTAGCAGTTGAGTTGGGAGTGAGAGCAAAATTAGTCAAGGTGGAGAATTGTTAGATTTTGACTTATTTGTTGTCCCCACATCGGATGTGTCCAAAGATGTGTAGAATCTTTTTAGTATAAATAGGTCACTAGTCTTTGAATTACAATTGCACCTTATTCTATTATCTCTTATCTTAGAAAGAACTCCTTAATTAAGGAAAATCCTAATTTGTTAACCCTAGTTGTATTTTGTTGGTGAGTTTAGTAAATTTGGTGTTGCGGTTGGCGGTGCTCGGAGACGTAAGCTATTTTCGCCGAACTCCGTTATCAATTTTTTGTTTTTATTTCTCGTCTTTTATTTGTGTTGACTTATTTTCGTTTGGAGTAGTGCATGCCATATTTGTTGGAGGAGTAATTGTTCGCCGCATTTGTTGTGATACCCCAACTATTTTTTTCATGTGGGCTTCATTATATTGTAGACTGATCTTGTATTCGCCCCAATTTGAATTTCGATCTATTTACAAATTGGGGTTGTGGCCTCAATCCCTCGTCCCAATCCCCCATCCTTTTGAGGCATGTGTTTATTATTTTAAAGGGAAAAAAAAGAGCAAAAATGAATATATCTAGGGTGTTGCTATTTAACCCCCTCCCCAATACTACGTACAGTTTTGCCCATGACACTTTTTCAAATAAAAAAAATAAAATCTCACCGTCCGACCAGTAAAAACGGTCGAGCACGGGCGCCATCTGATTTCTTCGGTAGGATAGAACCGTGCGCGTCCTGTTTCCCCAATAGGACGTGACCGTGCACGTCTTGTTTCGCCGGTAGGACGCGACTGCGCACGTCCGCGATCAAAAAATACAATTTTTTTTAATATTTATATTTTCATTTTTTAATTATAGC